CCCACGGCCGGGGGCTCCCCCGTGTGCGCCCACCCGCGGCCCGGGCTGCTCACCGCCGCTCGAGGTTTGCCCGGCTCCAAAAGCGCTCGAGCGCAAGCTGGCCTCGGGGCGTTGGAAAGCACCGCCGCCCCGTTCGCGTTTGTTCTCAGCTCCCAACAATAAAACGGACATGGCAAAGGCACCAGCGCTGGATTTCTGCGCACGGCAGATCCAAAAGCTGATGTCTACACACTTCATAGATCTGCCGGAGTCTCATTTTAAAAAATACAATCGCCGCTGCTCTTGCCAGTTACGGACCAATTCTCAGTAGCCTGGCGACTGACCCCATCGTCTTCCTGCCACTGCCACCAGAAGCCCCTAGACCAAAGTGACCTAACTCGCTCAATTCAGTATTTGTCCACCAAGCAGACCCTAGGCGATATTTAACCGAAGGTTAACACCCGGAGAACCTAATAACTGAACTTCATTCAGGCAAACGGCTGGAAATTTGCACAAGCTCCTAGGACTGCAAAACACAGCTTCCCTCACAGCCAAGTTTTGAGGCACACTAGCATTTTATCATAGATACCAACTATGAAAATGAAAAATGAACACTGCTTTTTCTTACAAAAAGCATGCTTTTAAGAAAACTGATACCTGCAACTACATGTAAGCATTGGTTAACAGTCCTAGGCACCCAAGAGAGGAGCAGCATTCAAAATTTTGCAATGTTTGGCCTTACACCAGCTGCTCCCACTTCCACAGCAGAGCATTACAACAGATGAAGCCCATATGTACTCAACTGTAAACATTTCCAAAGCAGGTTTACAGGGTTTTTTTTTTAAACAGAGCAAAACTGAACAAAATTATCTCAAGTGTACGTCTGTTTGAATGTGCCAACAGCAACTGGACAAAAACAAATACTAAAATAATGATGCTTTGAAAATTTTCAAATATACCACGTATTGTGATGCAGGAGTGCAGCTGTGACTTTCAGAGTTTTAGTCGTAATAACAAGCCATTACCAAAGCCAGTGCAATAAATGTATCGGTTTCACATTTAGCTGAAACCCAAGTGTCTCTTTGATCATCCCAGAGGCATCTGCTGGCAACCTATCAAGATAAAAGACAAAAAGGTACAAGTGAACCTATATACAGCAGTTTTACTATTTCTTTTTAAAGATCACACAGCATTATCTAAATGCTAATCTAATCATATTAGGAGAGTTACAACTATTAACAACAATGCAAAAGCTGAATAAAATTAACAATTCCTATTCGATGTTAAATATATGTTCTTGCTTCACAGTACAGCTCACACCCAGAGAGATCCAAAACTCTCAACACCAAGCCCCCAAATCTCTCTGGTGTTCACTTGTTACAATTTAACAAACTGTAGAGCACCCCTTCAAAGGCAATAGAATGTCTGTGTGATTAGACATTAGTTTTGGGAACATAGACAACCAAGAAGTCACATCCCCCACTCCTCCATCTCCACCTTACTCTAGCTTACTTCAGCTTACTTGGAACCATTTATCGGGCTCTCAGCCTTTTTGATAAAATTGTGTTCAAAGCCAAACTGTGTGAGTTGATGGCTGGAATAAACATATTCCTTGGGAGAAAAAAGTTAACTTGGACCACTTCACTAATCTGCTTGTACCTGCAGCTCCTCAGTCAAAGCACCCCTTAAGAGGCACCATACTGTGAGACAGCACCAGAAAAGCAGAGAGATGCAGGCAACTCATAAACTGCATTTGGTACTAAAGCTGAACCCCTCAAATGTTGTTTCATGTAACTCACTAAACAGGTTGGTTTCAATCATGTTTTAAGAACTGATGATAAACACTCCAAAGCAGAAGTGCTCTTTTGCTCTTTGACACTTTACTAGACAGATAAAAGCATTCTGAATGCCAATGGGAGCTTGGAGTACTAAATTTATACACCAACGCAGCAAAATCCAGAATCTTTTATTTTAGGTATTCCAAGTTCAAATGATGTTGTTAATTTGAAGTCCCAGGAACATGTCTGGTGGCAACATCAGTTACCATCCCCTTCCTTGCCACCCTTCTGTTCCGTGTCACCCCCCACTACAACTGCACAGTGTTTTGCACTGAATGTGAGAACCCAAATGGAGATCCAAGTACACTGGACAGAGAAAAACAAAATTCACTGACCTCATGGCACAGCACGCAGCAGAAACAAGTGGGTGACAGGGCACTGCAGTAGGGGCTGTTTACCACTTACTGAACACATGAAGACGAAAACCTTCAGAGAGTTAGGCAGAATCACAGCAGCACCTTGAATTGTCACCTGGGATACTACTACCCATAGAGAACTTAAAAGCTTCAGGACCACCTCAAACAATTTAAGCTACTGAATGTGAAAGAACACCTAGAATGTAACACACAGTTCTAAAAGTTGTTTTTTCATTTTCAACAGGTGTAACAAATAATAAGTTTGCTTACAATCATTGCCTGGTTTGCCTTTTCCACAATTAGCACTGATACCACATACTTATAACGGTCATAGTCCAATTCCTTCACAGCCTTTAATATATCTTCTGAGACTGAAGCACACAAGAAGGGACCAGAAGCTCCATCATATGTGGCTTCTTGTAGTTTATTCTGTCAAAAACAATTTTGAAAGATCTTAGTTTTCATCCCACTAGTCTTTTGCAAAAAATACCCTTTACAGTCATTTTCATTACAAGAACATGAGAAGAACTAGTGAGTTGAAAAAACCGTACAGACGATGGTCTCAAACAGCAAAGGATGCACTGCTCTGAGATGTTTTATCTGTTTTTTTGAGGGTGACACACATGCCCAGCCAATCTCCATTTAACAATCAGGAGTGATTGTTATTCTCCATTATTTGGGCTCAGTTCACTGGAAAACCGTGCTACAAATATCTGTTCCAAATATCGAAGATATGTCTTCCAGACAGCTGAATTAAAAAGATCTGGTTATAACTGTTCAAAATACCACTAACAGCTTTGGATTATCAGAACAGATTGTTCTCTTTCATTTTTGCTTAATTTGTGTACATAGCAGTCTGACTGTTAAGGATACCAAGTAATTTTATGCAAGTCCTGTGATATTAGCAGAATTAATAGAAATCCACAAATTGGATGTCATGATCTTTTGCTAACTGGATGTTTTGCAGATTATGGTACTTTGAACTGTGTTGTAGCTCAATTCGATTTAAAAATTGCTAAAGTTTATGATGCGTCAGCTTCACCTAAACAGCACATGCACAGCAGTGACCTTGCAGGGGCCTTTCTGCACTTTCCAAAACAGAGTCCATTCACATTACACTCATGTGCCAAAACTCAAAAGACTGCAGAGATTTATGCATGTTTAAGTTTGTGCAATATTCACTGTTCCATAAATACTTCTGCAAGACAAGCTGCCTTTGCAATGAGACAATTAATTTAAATACTATACCGTTAGTATTGCTTGAGCTTTGTCTCTTATTAAACTGTCCTGAACTTTAGTACGTGGCTCCAGTCTGTACGTGTTACGGCCTTTTGGCTTTGCCTTTTCTTCTGCTGGAGCCGTGCCTGAAGCATCCTGATATGTCTTTTTTCCTTTTGACTGTACAAAATAATAAAAAAAAAAACCCATACCACATGTCAATATTTTAGAATTTAAGGACTCTAAATAGTACTTTATGGTGTACAATTAAGAGAAAAAAAAAACAATTAGTCTTGGAATATGTTAACAAAAACCGCAGAAAGCTAGAAGCTGGTTATCATCCTCTGGCTGTTCTAACACTACTGGTTTGCTTGAAAATGGAAAAAAAATTGACCTCCACTCAATTTTAAATTATTTTCCAGCCAAATCCAACTGAGTTTTGTATTTAAACTCATTAATCATGTAGATCATATTAGCATCCTGAATCCACTCCCTTTTCCAAGTAAAAATACACAGATATTAACATATCTATTGAAGAATGTTAGCCACAAGCTTTTCATTCAAACAGCCAACCTAAAATACAGACTTAGTTCATTTATTACTTCATTTTACTTGTCCTTATTCCTTGTTACTAAAATAGTAGCTTATGTACTGATGATTTAATTTGCTCATTAAAAAAAAAAAAAATAAGGAAAAAGTAAGCTCCAGCGTGCAAAGCTTTGTAATTTTGCTTGAAACTTAAAACCAGATCTCTGAAGCTCGTGTTTTCTCCCCATCCAGCTGTGTACTCTATCTCTTCAAGACACACAGCAAAACTTGTCCCTCTATGAATGCAAGAAGCAAGTCTGATGTTGTGAAAAAAAGGTCACCATAGTGGCTTAAAACAGAACTGTGAAATAGTAACAGAGACAGAAAAGCAAAAGGAACCAATGGGTTCATAACAAATGTCACAGGCAATGGTCTTCAATATCAGCTAGTTCCTAACAAACCACTTCCAAGTTTCAGTGACTCTTCAGTCTTGGCTCCACTTCCTGACTACTTCTAGAACTTAACATGAGAGAAAATCATCAGTTCCTTTCCAGGAGAACAGAAAAGAAGTCAGAAATGAAATAACATCACAATGCAGGCTTATGCTAAGAAGTACAGAAAAAGAGTCACTTATGGATAATATAAAAGTCTAATGAGAATTATTTTAGAAGATGGGCTACTGAGGGGCTCACAAATCTTTCCATCTGAGGAGTTTTAAGAATCAGGGAAGAAATGCAGTTTATTTTCTATGAAATCACTTGCACATTAGCTCTGCCAACAACTGTGGACATTACTTAAAAGTGTCCTCTAGTTCCTAAAAAGAATGATGCTGGCAGCCTTAGTGCAAATTGCCTGCTAGTGTTTGTTGAATCTGAATAGCACTTACTCTAAAAACACAAGGACCAAACACTAGCTTGTGAACACTCATTATCTACTAACTGCAAACTCAGATCTCAAAAGACTACATGCTCATCACATGTCACCTAACAGAAGAAAAAACACCTCAAGTCTTGCAGCTGAGGTCTTCAAATGAGCATCCTCATCCATGTGAGTAGCAATGAACTTGTGAAAAAGGGCACGCTCCAAACTGATTCTTTGCTGACATGGTTCATCTGGACCTACACTACCTTTAACCTCTTTCATTAATGATGGAAGAAAATTCATGTCTACAGCACACAACTTCTAACAATGCTGATACTTAAAAGTTTACCTGCTGTTATGAGTGACGGGAGTTTTCACGATCACTTACAAGAAGTCATTGCATTTACTAATGAGGCAACCAAAAACCTTGATTTCTCTATAGACGTGGCTAGTAAATAAACCTACTTCCGTGTATCACTGTATAGAATACACAGTAAAGCCCCAAGTTTTAGCACAACGTTGCAATTGCATTTCTCTAATATATTTGAAGAAATACTATTTGTTTGAAATATTGTGAAAAAAAATTCTCAAAAGTTCAAGAACTGACTGCATTTGAGCACTTGACCAAAAAACGCCTGTAGTTAGGTTGCTCAGCTGGAGTACATTGGCTTAATTTTGGACATATGGAAGGAAGTATGCTAAGAGGGGAAAAAAAAGGCTTTTGCTATTTAAATGAAATTCTGTTTGTTAGTAAGTCCATTTTTAACAACCAATGGGTTTTAGTTGTTAAAACAAATAGGAAAGAATTCTTGTTTATTCCTTCAGAAGACAGCACAGCTTCTAGTTTAGAGCAGCACCCCGAGTTGGAGGTGCCCCACCAAAGGGAGAAGCACCCTTTTCTTTACCACCACAGCAGCTCAGCCTCCCAGCGCCTGAGCCAGCACGCCAGCCGCCAGGGTACGAGCGAACGAGGCACCTGGCCGAGCAGAAAGATCCGAGCTATCCCATACCAGGCACTAAACAAGAAGGAACACCATTCCTGCTCCCAAGTTTCTCAAGATCACAGGCACCTTTTAACCCACGTTCTCCACGCCCCATCCTTCCCTCCCAACTGGAGCGCTGCAGGCCCGGTCCGGCACCCCCACCTCAGGCGGGCATCACACCCCTCCCGCGCTGGGGCCGCTGCCCGCTCCCGCTCCCGGGGGTGCCCCAACCCCCGGAGCCGCCCCTCGCCCTGGCGGCCGCTCACTGTGTCTTTATCCTGGCGCTTTTTCCCTCCCTCCATGGCCGCGGTCCCGCTG